ATAAATAAAAAACAGATGCTGTGTTATATATATATATATATATATATATATATATATATATATACTTTGAATAATATGCAGTTATCTGAGAAAATGATTTCTGTAATGTTTCTACTCACGAATCTCAGGTTTATGAAGCTTGAAAGTGTTTAGTTTAGTAAAAGGAGAAGGTTTCAGAGTGTTGTTGGTTTTGGAGTGTTTTATCTGTGATTTCTGAAGCTGTGTGAGATTTTGGCTGTATTTTTCTGTAATGTTATCTAAACACTGGGGTGAATCGATGTCTTCTGTCAGCTTCTGTTAAGTGTACACCGCTACATGCACTGGGAATATAGATGAGGGAGATTTTTCTGTCATATTTATCACTGCTTGATTCATCTTTGTCTGAGACTTACACCATAGTAATAAAGCACAGTAATATTAGGGGTCTCATAGACCATAATGCTGTAGGTAAATGATAAAATTAGGGATGCACCGATACCGATACTCCTGTACTCGTACTCGTTAAAATGCCCCCGATATCAAACGCCGATACCACAAAGCATGTGATAAGTGCCATATTCAGATAAAGAAACACCAACAACAGATAGCAGAATGGAGTTATTAGAGATGAAGGATGTCTACGATAATGTGAGAAATGTTGAAGGTGTCTGAATAAATTTTGGTTTGACTGAATCTATTTGATAAATAAAGTTAACCAACTAACATTATACATACCCTTTTGGTTTCTGTACCCAATATTTAAAAAATTTACAAATGCAATAAAAATATTGGTATCGGTACTCGGTATCGGCAAGTACCAAAAATAAAATAAAAGTATCGGTATCGGGCGAGTACTGGAAAAAGTGGTATCAGTGCATCCCTAGATAAAATAATAATCATAATTTCCTTTTAAGATGGTGTTTTAACCCATTAGGGAGATGACATTAAGCTTCACCTCTGTGTTCAGTCACTGTTTTAGAAGTTTAGAAATTTGACAGATGCTTTTAGCAATGAACTTGACGTTTCTACATGCCCAAATGCTCTTGAAGGAGTTTCTGTTGGAGATATAGAGTGATGATGAGGGATATTAATATAATTTTATGTCCGTAGTCTGCTACAGTGTCATATAGATCTCATTGATTTACATTACAAGCATCAGCGTTAGTTTCTGGCCCTATTAATAGGCAGAGGTGGCACAAACTGCACAGTCAATTGAAAGTTTACGGCGGTCAGGAGAGATGCAGTTAGCGTTTTTCACCTTGTTGTCCTCCTCATGCATGCTTTTTATTTGATAGGGATGAAATATGTGATGTGAATTAGTGTTCTGGCGGAGATCTGTACCCGTGGTGCTCGCTAAACTATACATTAACAACCCCTTCCTCCTGTTAGGGGGAAATTAGCTCAAATTGTTGAGCACAGTGTGTTTAACAGAGTAAATCAGGACAAGCCATATCCCCGGCCCAGGACAGATCTCGCAGCTAGCATCTGGCAGCGCTTCTCACCGTCTGGTTTCTTACGATTATGTCTCACTTGTGGCTAAAATGATCTCCATTAGGAAGCATTACATATGATGGGCCTGCCCCGCATCGGAAAATATCGATTGTTGGTAGAGAAAAACACTCTAAAAATACTTTAATACTTCATTTGACCTTGGTGTTCTGCTATTTGAGAGTGCTAAAACAAAGAGGCTCTCACGATTAGCTGCTGTTCGTCTTGTAAGAACAACATCGGACGCCTGTGCTGAGGGAAATTAGCAACACCAACTCCATTAGCAGGATCTCAAATAGAGCTAAAACACACGTGAAGCATTAAACACGCACACATTCATGTTTTCATTCAAACCCAAGGAAATATTGTGATTTTCACGAGTTATTTTTTTTAAATAAAGAGCTTTAATTTGCTTCTTTGGCCTGAAACTTGTTTGTTCAAATGTTGTGTGACATTTTGGAAGCCCTGCTTTGATCAATTCTGAATATTGCATCCCTGCTAGTCCTTAAAAATGTCTTTAAATTAGTGCTGTCAAGCGATTAATCGCGATTAATCGCATACAAAAAAGTTTTTGTTTGCTAAATATATTTGTGTGTTCTGTGTCTCTTTATTGTGTATATATGAATACATACACATACAGTATATATTTTGAAAATATTTACCTGTATTTACATGTACATGTCTATATTCATATAATTTATATTATAAATAAATATATTTAATATATAAATATAGCATATTTTTCTGAAATATATACATGCATGCGTGTATTTATATATACATAATAAATATACACAGTATACTACACACACATATATTATGTAAACAAAAACTTTTATTTTGGATGCGATTAATCGCGATTAATCATTTGACAGCACTACTTTAAATATATAATATTCTTAATTTATTTACATTTTCTTTACATATTTTTACATTATATATTTAATGTATTTAATTATTTTTTAATTTACAATATTTTTCTCTGACAACCAGCACAGGGGAACATTAGATAAAAATGAAGGCATGTATAACCTCAAAACCAGCAAAAAAATTACCATTATCAAATTAGAATTAGTCAAGAGTGCTGGCTAAAAAATTCAAGCAAGCAAGCATTTTTTTTTTAT